TGAGGTCAGAGGGAACATAAGTAGTCATTTCTACATGACTCATTCTGGATACTCTGCTAGACAAATTTTAAAATAATTCTAGCTAACCAGCACTGAAAACATTTTGGACATTGATCATTAATGTTCTACATGTTGGTTTGGCAAAACAGCTTTTCCCAGCCTTTCCTAGGAGAAAACAAAAGCTTTGCTCAGACTGCCCCCTGCAGAACACACAGCAGTGGGGTTTAATGCCTCGGTTACTGTCAGCGATAGGAGAATCCAGAGGCAACATCACAGCAGTGAGCTTGTCCAGACCTGACAGAAATAAAGCAAAGATCGGCTAATAGTTATTTTTCCAAATATTTTAGGACCCTATTGATGGAGATGTGGATATTCATTTCAGGAAATGTCCCTAATATGCTGCTACTGAACTGCTTCTAGAGTAAGAACAGTGTGCGGAAGCACAGGCCCTGCTAGATACACTGCAGTGATTCCATATGCTCCTTGTAATTCCCTTTTTCTTGGTCACAGTCAGTACCCCAAACAAAGATTTACCAGCCCACCCATGGCTTTGTTCTCAGCTGCTATCAAGAGTTTCACTGAAACTTCACCAGGACTCTGACCCTGACTGGACCTAAATACATACTCATTAAATGACAAATACTTTGAAAAACTAAAATGTAATGTCCTTTGACTCATGTCTTAGGTTTTCCTCTTATGAAAAGGTTAAAAACAGAAATGTGCTGTCAATGACTTACACATCATGAGCATTTGTTCAATTTTCACTTTCCCTAATAGGTCTGTGTACAGCAGCAGAAGGTTTCTCATGAAACTTCATGTAACTAAAAAGGAAGGGTTTAAATCACCCTTGAATATGTTTTCAGGAAAAAGAGACATGAGCATCCAGATACTTCCAGACACTGGTCAGATTCAGGGTAAAATGCAAATCTGGGTTTGGGATGGAAAGAAAAAAACATACAACAAACATTGCAAGTTCTGATTCCTTATAAAGACATTTTCTTCCAAGCAGGGACTTAGGTTTTATGTATTTATTCAAATATCAATTCTGGTAGAGCCATTAAGACTTGGATGTTGCCTCCAAAATCTTTTTCTATCAGATACTCAGTCCTCAGACTGCATCAGGGCAAAAGTTTTCCATTTGACAGCGCCAGTCGAGTAAAACACACAAAGGCAGGACATTTTCCTGATGGATACACATCAGCTGGGAAACACTGTTGTCTAAAAAATGAAATATTTCAAATTTAATGGGCCCAAGTAATAATGAAAAATTGTAGGTGGTTTTTTTTCTGAAGAAAATGTCAAAAACATAAACCTGATTTCTCCACCACACAGTGCTTACCTCAGAGACTACCTGATCCTGTGGGATTCTAAGTCCCACCACGTGAAAAGGAGTAGGAAGTTTCTCGGATATTGCTGACTCCTGTTTTCTTTGGCTGTTGAGCTATACAGTTTTTAAGGCATGCCAGACACTGTCTTCAGAGGAGACACTTGCCCAAAAAGGATCAGAGAAAAGATTTAATATTTTCATTACAGATTTGACACCCTTGAATATTTCAAAGAACTGGATTTTTCAGCTAGGTTCTTATGTACTTGGGAAGTGGAAGGCTGTTTCTTTCCCACCAAAAATTAAATACTCCTTGATTCAATCTCAGATCCCACAGTAAGATGACCTTTTTCCAGAGAGACCATAAATCAAATACTGACTTGATCCCTTTCTGCTTTGTGAGATTACTGTCCTCTGTTTGGATCAAGAAAGAAACACCATGGAAGTGTAAGTGCTGTTCTTTCTTCGGGCTCATGCTTAGCACCACTTGGCGAAGCAGCATCACAGCCTCTGCAACCAAGTAATGCAGTTATCATATTGAGGAAAAACACTGCAATAAACATGCACTCATTTTAATCTTCCATTGGAAGATCCTGCAAGGCTTTTCACCCTGCAGAAACTCACACCAAGTAAAATCCCAGTGTCTTATTTGTTGATGATCACAATAATTTCCAGAGTTTTAGAATAAAGCTGACTGTCATAAGGAAATTGGGTCAAACTACAGAAAAGCCTGTTTGGATGTTTGCAGCACTGTTGTTTTTTTTAGTCCTGGGTAAGGACTAATTTCTGTGCAAGGCTCAGTACCTTCAGTGCCCTTTCAAAGAAGTTGTAGCTGAGGGTATTTTGCAACTGAAATGAAGATTTCAGTGACTGACATGATTTCTTTCCTACTTGCACTTTGGTTATGAGAATGGGCCACCTTAATGTTTATGGTGATACAATTTCATGTGAGGTTTTGAACTACATTTATAGTCACATATATTTTTAGCCTAAATATTAAAACTACAGCTTACTCCAAAATCTGGTTTATCATGTGATTTTCTTGGGATATAATTTAACAAAACTCCAAAATTTTAAAGACAAAGTCTGGCTGCCTAATTTTTATTTTCTTTGAAATGTTACTTAATTTTCTAAGGTTCACTCTTTATTTTCACAGATTTTTCATAATATATTTCTAGGCATGGGCCCAATACTCCACCTGTGTTCCTTAGTGGCAGAGAAAAGATTTGTTTTAGAATCAGTACCATAAGTATGTAATAAAAAGAAGGAAGGTTGAATTTTTATGTAATGCATAGAAGGTTTTATTCTTCCAATAAATGAAAGACATTACATCAGTGGAAATGGGGTCAAATAGAAACTTTATCTTCTACCTCTACCTAAATTTGCTACAGGTTTCTCAGCTGTGTTCCTGCACTGTGTCCCATTTGTAAAGGTTGTATTTTGGCAATTTTACTGCAGGAAGGACAGATTTTGCAGAAGTGGATTCTTTCTATTTTCAGTTTAAAAGTGATTCTTGGAAATCTCAGAGGCCTCCATTGCTTTAGAAATTGTTTATACAAAAGTCTGAATTCTTACTTTTATTTGAGGTGAGAACTATAACTATAATGTGACAACTTTAAAGTAATGCAATTTTTTTATGCTTGCAAATATTTTTTCCCTTATTTCCTACGAGAAATCTGCCCAACTCATTTTTGAAACAAGTTATAATTTTTTGGTTATATTTTGTAACAGGGTATCCCTGTGTAATTTCTCTTTCATAATTAAAAAATTAAGCATATCTTTCAGCTGGACATTAGAAAATTATTTTGATATATTCAGAATTTGCTCATAGTTATTGGGATGGTAAGAGATCCTGCAGAAAAGATCCTAAACTACTCAGCTTATAACATCAATCCTTTTACTATCATGAAGAGTCTTAAGAGATGTTATATTAAATGAATGGGGCAATTAACACATTTCTCTAGATAGTACTTTTATTTTGATATCTTATGGTCCATGTTATAGCCAAAATCTATTGTTGAAGAAGGACTACAGGGAAGTTTCCTTCACTCTTCATTATCAAGGATATATTTTTTGGTGTATTTAATTATTGAGAGATTGAAACACCAAAGATGTAGACCTAAGTATTTTAGATTTATGCCTATATCTCTGTAATAAGAAATGACATTACAAAGGAATGAAATATACACTGAGTTGAAAATATATTAAATGTGAATGGGATTTTTTTTTCTTTCTGACTGGGGCTATTTTCTGTTGACAGCAAAATGACCTTTGCTTCATATGTTTATTTGCCTCATTTCCCCTCTCTCAATACTCAAAGATTTCAACACACAAGCAATGTAATTTTCTGTAATTTAATTTGAAATAATATATAAATAGATTTATGTTTAACTTGTAAATTAGACTTATAATATTGGCAGCAAAAATTAAGGAACTGACTGATGGAGAGAAAAAAACAACTTCTTCCCTTCCTTGTTTTGTCCTAGTTCCTTACTTCCTCTGCCAATAATCACAATTCTTTCTTCAAAGGGAGCACACAGTTAGCCAGAGTCTGACTTTTCAGTTTTACTTTTGCAGTGAGCATATTCAGCAGTGCAACTCCAGAGCCTTGTTTGCTAGACTGCAATGACACATGCCATTATGATTCCTTAAATTACATCTCCACTATTCTAAGTAAGAGAGAAAACATTAAACAAAAAACTCTTTTTCCTGACATTTTAAAACACAAATACCAAAATATTTACCTTCTCTTTTGCAAAGCCCAAGGGCAGCATGGCTCAAATGTACAGGAACCATGGCACAGATGCAGGTGAACCTATTCATATATGCCTGGGGAGTGTCAGACTTCTGGCCCTGAGCTCTGCTTTGGAACACAGAGAGGATCTACCTTTTGGTGAGCTGCCAAACAGCCAAATGACCAGAAATTCCCAGGTCATAGGGTGCTGTATTCCACTGAAATACAGCAGGACTGAGATGTTTAAACTGCGATCAAAGATTGCATTTCGAATTTTCTTCTTCCCCTTAGAGATGGGTTTCCACAGACATGGGTTTGGTCCTCATGGACACGTCCCACAGGCACGAAGCACCAAAGGGTTTTTTGAATTGGGGCAGTGGAATGTTTTCTCTAGGGCAGTGTGCTACATCACAGCACTTTGTATTGCATAACTTTTGCTGTTGATTAAAATCAGCTTTATTCCCTATTCCCAGAGCTGTTGGGCTCTTAACTCCAGACATCACCTTTGACTCTATGTTGCCAACTAAATTAAGACAAAAAAGAAAGGTGAGGAGTGCCTGTATTACTTGCAAATGTGAATAAGTTATTGTAATGATATTTTTCTCCCTGCATGTGGCTTTTATTTGATAAGTTTTATTAATTTCTGCTTTTTGAGTATCTGAATGCAGGCAATATTCTGCATTACAGATTCATAAGGCAGCCAAATAATCACTGGTTAAAATATGTGCACAAAATTCCTCCTCAGTCCAAATAATTTTTTCTCTCCAAATATTTTTCCCTTTCATAAATACAGTAAATAGAGTAATTTTATCCTGCTGCTTTTGGTCATAAGGAGTGTAAGAAGAAAACAATTAAATTGTGAGTTATGTTAGCTAAGAAATGTCTTCCTTTTCTGTTTTTTCATGCCAACACAAACCTGTGACTGCCAATTTGGATCATAAGGGGAATGAAAGTTGGAACTCTGCTGGAAGTATGGAATGACACATCCTAAAAATAGAAGTGCAACAGGTATGCCTGTCAGCTGGTCACAGTCTTACCCATTCCCTTACCTGAATGAAACAATCGGGAAATGTTACTTTTCAAGAGATATTTAGAGAAAGACTAAGCGGAGAAAGTAGAAACGTATGGGATGAGCAGGAGGAAATAAATTAAAATGCTGATTTTTACATTTTCTAGTTCTGACTGTTTGCACCCAAAAGTGGACAACTTGCCAGAAAAATATGATTGCTAGCTCTAATCATTCAAATATTTGTGAGGACTGCTGATTATATAACTACCCTAAGTGTCTGAAAGAGCACATTTCTTTGAACCGTGCAGCTCAGATGGGCTGGTTAAACAATAATTGTAATTAATACAATTTGCTAAAAGAAAGAACATTGATCCACCAGTGTATTTTACATTAGCAGATGAAAAATTGCAATATCTTACAATCACAGATCACTAAATAAACAGTAAACAAATGTATTCCAGCTTTTACAAGCTGGAAAGTCAAAGCAGAAAAATGTGAAGCTAGCCACACTTTGAAGGCAGTTCCAGGAAAAAAAAATCAGAATCACTGTGTTATTTTTGTCTTGTGGTAATGGTCAGAAGTTCTTTTTCTGAGGCAAGACCCCCATCAAGAATATATTAGAAATATGCAAAACTTTATATGATGCACAGAGTAAGTAAATAGTTCTAAGCCCACTTAAATAAACATCTTCAAAAATTTCAGTCTGAGGTCAGCTAATGGTAGGAAGCTATTTTTCCTCTCACTCTTCCTTTATTTCATTCCAATCTAACAGGATGCTATAGCTTATGACATATGGTCCCTTAAATTAGGCACTCCAACCTTGTTCGTTCATCTCAGTGTGTGGAGCCAAGTTGTCTATTAATAGGAAAAGCCTTGCCCTGGAAAAATGTGTATGCACATTGGGGAAATGAAGGATATGCTACAACAGGGAATAAAATTAACTTAGTATGTATTATGGAAAGAACCACTCTAATGTAATACTGCCAGACAAAGTGGAGAAGTGCTGTTAAATCTTTATGTCTCAGAGGTGTGGTGCATTTAGCAACTTGATGTCTGTGTAATCCAGCATACTGAGTTTCCAGAGTCATCTCCAAGTAATGGACAAACTCTCCTCTGCTACCAAAGCCCAGACAGGAATAAACCAAGACCACCAGCTAAGACATTATGTAATTGCCATGGATATGAGCATTCAATGACCTCAGGTGCTGTGTTTAAATGAAAAGATTTAGTCAAAACCAAAAAGACTTGCATGTAAAAAGGACTTGTTAGTAATTTTTTTCTCTTATAAAATAGAAATTCTAAAGGATTGCTGTAATGAAAATGCTGACACAAAACAATGATATTAGAAATAACAATGTTATTAGAAATATGCAATAAAATTCCCACCTTCCCATGCAACATGCTTTGTTCAAGTTTAAAAAAAAAATTAAAATAATTTAATATGCTTTAAAATAATGTAATATATATTTAATGTATAATTTAACTCACTTATGGAAGTGAGTTATTGAACTTAGAGATTATTGCTATGTAAGAATTAATATATATGTATGTAATTACCAAGCTCTCTTGATGATTTCAACAGCCATTCCTCTGCTTTTGAAAAATGTAATTTTGCAGCATGCTTCTATACATCATAGCACTGCAGAGATCATTTGCCTAGCCCATCACTTTGGCTGTCAAATGTAACACCCTTTTTCTATCAGATATAAGCAGATTGTCTTCACCTTCAAAGCCTGCACCTCATCATACCTATCATCTCTCATGCAGGATCAAGAAATCACTTCTCTCACTGATTAGCCCATGATGCCAGCCTCCTCCATTGACTTCTTAGATTTTCAGTCGCTCAGTCTGAAGCTTTATCCCATGCCATTCCTTACATTTGGAAAGTGCTCCTTCAGACATCTGTAAAGCTACCTCCTTATCTTCCTTCTAATCCTGCCTGTGAGGTTCCCCTGCCATTATGCCTTCAAAAAAAGTTTCAGAGTTTGGACTGAATTTGCCTAGTTATAATGAGCAGTTGCCAAAAAAAAAGATTTCTGGATCAGCTTCAAATGGAGCACTCCCAAAGATCTGAAGGTTGGTATTTCCTACTCAGATGCTACACTGTAAATTCTGCATGGTTACTGGTGCCTCATTTTTCAGAGGATGTTCCCTTGCTGTTGTTGGACAGAAATATATTTCCATTTGAAAACAAGGGATGAATATAAGGGTGATATGTCTGGATTTTAGGAGCAACATATCTGAAACAAGGGGATAATCTAGAGGGTGCCTTGGCCTTTTCCTTCATATGGCAAGTGTTTAAGCATAGGAAATTGTACTGTACTTATGTGGAAAGATTGATGGGATAGTTTGAATTTTGGTGACAAGTTTGGGGGAAGTTGGGGGCAGAATATTGCCTCTGCCTTGTTCAAATTTCTGTTGTGGAAAGAATGAGTGGTCACAAGAAGCAGTATTTCACTGGGTCACCATCTCAGTTGAGAAGGTTTTGCTTTGAAGCAATTACACTTGCAGCCTTGACCTTGAACACATTGGCATGGTGTGTTGTGTTTGTATTCTCATCTCCAGCAGCACTAACTCAGGACCAAGTCATCATCTCTTTACATGAATTACCTACAAAGGAAACTGGAAACTCCACAGCATCTCTCTGTCATCCTTCCCTCCAGATGGTGCCTCCAAATCCCTTGTGAAGGAGATTGTGCAAACCAGCATGTAAGTTAGTTCTGTTGGTTTCATCTCTAATTATGGTAAAGATTTTGTTTCAGGGTGCTGGAAAGGTGCCTGCCTCCTTCTCTCCCTCACCTTTGATTCCTGGCACTCAGCCCCAGCCATCAGAGCACTCCCATGGCTCCTGAAAAAGCAGGAAGCACCAGTTTCTCCAAAGTTGCCAATTCAGATTTTCTTGAGTATCCTTTCTACAAGGTTTTCATCCCCCAATTCATCAGCATTTCCAACTGCTGCAGGACCAGCAGGCTCCTCCATTACTCTGCATGCAGGCACTCAGAGAAACCTTGAGAGCCCTCCATCACTGCAGAGGAGTTGGGCTCACATCTCAGCCTGGCTGAAATCCTCTGAAAAATGCTGTGGTGTTCAAGTGATTAGACTGTCTTCCAGAGAAGCAGGGACTAGATCCAATTTGTAAATCTTTAACATATGGGATAACCATTTTTAAAACACCCTTTTAGCTTGCCTTTCCATAATTTTTCAGGAGGGGATCTGCACTTTTAGAAAGTCAGGCACCAATGGGATGTAGATTGCAAGTCATAGTCTTGGTCAGAATTTCAGTCTGAAAACAACCAGACTTGTGCAGATTTCTCAAAAACTGAAATAATTTCCAGACTGAACTTTTTAAACTAAGTTTCAGCATAAAACTGTATTTTTGTAGCCAAACTATAAACCTCCAAAAGAGTTTATGTGGAAAGGCTGAAGCTTTACTTATAGCACTGCGATGTCTATGGCACTCAATGACTTGATGCTGAAGGCTATTAATCCCAAAGAAAACTTTCTTGGAAGAAGTTGAACGTTAGAGGTCAATGAGATCTCAGAGGAAGCTGGACTGAAAACAGAGAAAAGCTGATTTTGTCCATGTAAATCAATTGTTACTGTTTCCTGTCTGAGAGAAAATTTAATGCAAAGATTGAGGATTTATGAACAGGAAAAGGGAAAAACTCTAAAGGTCTTGTAAGAAGTGATTAATAACATTGAGTTTTTTTAGATAATGCTATTTAAAAACCATGTTCAAAAGCCACACTGATGGTTTAAGCAAAGGATAAACTATGTTCACTCACATGCCCTGGTTTAATCCTTGTGGTTAATGTTAAGTTGTGATACTGTAATTGCAAATACTGTTTTGTAAAAATGGACCTTCACCTTTCAGCAGAATTAAAACAATTAAGGGACAATACACAAAGACTTTAAAGAACATGGCCGAGAAGATTTGAATAATTTTTTTAATTGTATTTTGAAGCAAAAATATTTCTGACAGATCTGTTTTGAGGGGAGCAGCAAGAGCATGAGGCTGCATTAGGCAGAAGTCTCCCAGTGTAGCATGAGAAGCTCAGTCCTGAGTTACTACCAGGGACAGCCACAACCCCAAATTCCATTAAGCTCATGTGACTTAATTCCCTAGGAAGCCATCACATTAGAGTTCCCCAAGTGGTCAAGACTCTGACATAGGCCTTGAATGGCTTCCTGTCATTGGAACTGAAGAATGCTTGAAAACAAAGCAATAAATCCTCTCCTTTACTACAGACAAGTAAATGAGAAACTCTTTTGGGAGGCTGAAAGCAAAACGTAGCAAGGAAAGCTATTTTGAGTGTTGACAAAAGGTCTTTGGGTAGGCTTCAGGCTCCTTATCAGTCTAGGCAACAGGATCCTACTGTGTCTTACCAATTTAAGAAATGTTTTTTGCAGCAGTTACAACAGACAAATTGTCAATTAAAATAATAGTGATTGAGGTATTTTGAAATTTGTCTGCTTCTATTGAATTCATGCAAGTAAATTACTAGCAATTGAAGCTATGTATGTGGGTGGGCTTACAATCACGAATTAATCACAGCTAGCAATTTGTATGTCTCATTTAATGCATTTTCTTAATCTTGTATTGTTGTTCAGATTGTTCCAGAAACAACAGGAATTAAAAAAAAAACAAAAAAAACCCCAAAATGTTTCCATGTGGAAAAAACACAAATCCTACTGAAATGGAAGCATGAACAAACTAGTATTTATGCAAGGTTGTATAGGGGCACAATCCAGCCAGTCTCATGGAATGTTCTATAGCATTCCCAATGTCACATGTTCCAAAGCTTGTCCCACACAAAGTGGTGCACAGGGCAGAGGAAGCACAGTGGATCTGTTCCTTCCCTCCTTCATGAAATGTGATGGGACAATAGAGTAAAGTGACATTGTGCATGAGGAGGAAGACTTTGTATCATCTCCAAGATATTAATCCTGAAAGTGATTGGTAAATGTTTTGGAGATGTCTCAGTAACTCATGAAGTGAAGATAGGTGATTCTGCTCCTGTAGACATTTTCTCTGATCTGCTAAAAGTGCCACTTGTTTAAAGTGGTCAATGGTACCACATGTCTGAGTGCCACCAGTAAAACGTCAAGCCTGACTTTCACATATTACTGCTTTAAGTTAATTTTGTGAGACTATTACAGCTACAAATTGTATCAGGGCACCACAAATTCACTGTTTACAGCCTCACTGTTTACAAAAGTATTTTATCATTTGAACAATCAAATGACTCATTTTAGTTACTTGTACTCAAATGTTTAGGATAGTTTTCTTATTTTAAATTTTGAAGTTTCAGACTTTTTCTTCAGTGAAAGAAATGAGATTTCAGTGAGTCAGCAGAACTCCCCTCTGAATGAAAACATAGTTTCCAAACCAGTTCCCCTCTTGGACAAAATTCTTCTTCTCCTAATCCAATGAATGGCACAGTGAAAGCAGAGTGAAATCTTGGCAAATCAGTATTTCCCCAGAAGGAGTCTCAGCCATTATGGACAGATATATAGTTTTTACATTCCACTAAAGCCAATAAACAAAACTGTCAGGGTGGCTCATCTTCTAGCAGTCTTACAAGCGAAGAAAAATTTTTAGTCATCAAAATCATTGGAGCAGTGCAGACTTTCCACATGGTGATACAGCAGCTATGGCACTGCAAAGATCTGCCTCACACCTTGAATTTCTTCAAGCATCTGTGACCAAATCTTCCCTTGGATAAAACAGGGATAATCAATCTGACTCTTTTAAAAGGGCTATGGAATTTTGCCCCAGTGCTGAACAGAGTGTTCTGAGAATACAGGTCTGTATTGCTGATCTCCTTCTAGTTTCTGAAAGCTGGAAGCTGAGTCAATGAGCAGTGATGTAGAGAGCGTAAGTACCATGCCATTGATGACTGCAAAATGCACATATCTACTCCTGATGTGTGTTTGACACATAAGTTTGGAACTGCATTTTTAGTAACCAGTAGTAAAGAAAATAGAAGAGAGAATATCAAAATGTTTAATCATGTGTAGTAAATTTCAATAAATGGTTCTTTATACACAGATTAGGACTAAAATGGCATGCAATAACATCTATCTCAATGCTGATCCTGGACACATCTCAGTACACCATTTGGTGTTCATTTGGGATTAGATTTCTGTCACCACTACTTTTCCTGACATACCTGATACCTAAAAAGACCAAAATAATTAAATATTTGGAATAAGATTGTAAGCACCACAAATAAGAGTTATTTGTAAGCAAGTGAGATTGGGGCAGTATTTTGTGGCATCTTTTGTACTTTTGATTAATGAAAGGGAAATTAAGGTATGTTCAAATTGTAGGTTGACTGCTACAGAGCTTTTCAAAGACATCTTCTGTTTTGCTAACTCTATTGCACACCCAGGGCTAGTATGAAATCAGTGTTTGGATGCCACAGTGTGCTCAGCATCTCAGGCTGGCTTCTGTACTAATTCCTGCCAAGCAACAATTTTATACCTTCTTTTTTTTTTTTTTTTTTTTTCTATGCCACAGAACTGTTCTTTTTTTTTTTTCTATGCCACAGAATTGTGTCATTCCTTTGTATCTTAGTGCATAACATCACTGAGAGTACATATCTTTCAGCAGTCTATGATGACAAAGCTCAGGCAACTCAGGGAAACACAGAAAACAAAATTAGAAATAAGGACTTGAAAACACAGCTGGAGATACCCAGAGATGGATGCATCTAAGAGCCAGAGAAGAAATGTGACATATGCAAATGGAAAACAGTTTAAGCTGTTCTTCTGCGACTGTTTGACTTGGACTTTGTGAATTGCTATTATTTTCCTTTAAAAGAGTTTTAGGAAAAAATTTTGATGCTTAATAAGCTAGTTCACAATAATCATATGACTAAAGTTGCATATAGAAGGTGCAGGAAACACGGATGTGATTTACTCATCTAAATTAGTGCTTGACTAATCATGTCACGAAGAAATTAAGATTTCTGATACTACACTTAATCTTATATTCATCAGGAATGTTTTGAGTCAGCTGATTTGTTTTTACTTAAACAGGAGAGACTTTATGGAAAGATAATAAATGAATTTTAATTAAAATTTAAAAAATAAACTCTTGTTTTGCAGAAGAAATACAAGAGATTCTGTGAGCAGCCTTCTCTACAGAAAGATGGACTTCTATCTCAGAGCTGTTAAATAAGAGAAAAATTAGGATTAGTCCCATCAGTTCTCAACACTAAAATAATGCCTAATAATACCTCATTTTCCAGTGATAATTTTTGTAAGTCAAAAAAAGCACCTTTTTGGCATTTTCTGTTTGCAATCAAATTCTCTATGGTAGTCTTTATGGTGACCTTTTCACTAGAGAAGAAACGCTACAAATCATTAAAACTGATATTGTCACATAAGAAAACACAAATGTTTAATAGGAACCCATTTGAAAATGTTTATTGTGATTTTTTTTTCTCCCCTCAGAGTAAAGCAATAGCATAATACCCAGCTGCATGATAATATTGGCAAGCAAGGCCATGAATTTCAACTGCAAACCCTAAACACTGAATGTGCTGTGCTTTTTAAAGAAACCCCCTTTTGTATGAGATATGTAATACCCTTTTGTCCTGGAGCAGTTTGCATAATAATAGTTGTCTTTACTTATTTGTTGTCATGTGATGGAGCTGCAAAGTGAGCGACACAGCAACAGCATAAAAGACAATTTTCCATTTTTCTCTATTTTTTCAGAGATTTTCTTGTTTTTTAAATGTAAATACTTCTAACTATCTTCAGAAAAGAAGATTAGTTAGTTATAAGCATTTCAGACCTAATTGTTACTTTTCTTAATATGTGCTGAACTATTTGTGCTTTTCTTTTTCATAAGAAGAAGCAGGAACATTATTTCCTTTGCATTCACTCCTGAAGAGCCTGAAGCATATTCAAAAAATTGGGCATAAGATCAACTGGTATAAATCAGCATAACTCTATTCAAAAATACCTCACTCAAGAATTTAACAGTAGAACTACTTGAAGAGAGAAGTCAATAAAAATTTATGTTACTAACTGTATAATTTATGTACTAACTGTATAATTTCTATCAGAGTTGTGCATGTGTTGGACTGCACCACTGAGATGAAAGGTAATACCTGAATGAAGAGTCATCTTTAAAACTAGCTGTCTAGGATGCATCTGAGACTAAGCATAACACAAAATTGTAAGAATTTTCTGATGAGATTTCCTGTGTAAATTTTTTTTAAGATTCCTCTTGGGCTCTTCAATGTGTTCTAGTCTGAGTAGTAAGTAAGGAATACAAAGGAGATACAATGACATTGAGGTGGAGCTCAATCTTAGTCACAGTGAAATCTAAGAGGAGGACTAAAGGCAAGGGAAGTTCCTCGGCTCATGTACAGTAAACTAGCCATTATTCTAACTGCTGCTATCAGAAGATTTTTCCTTTGAAGTCAGCAGAATTATGCCAAGTTACTGTAGTTGTGAATTTGGCCATAAGATTACACATAGTTTTGAACCTCTGGCCTGTAACCACTGTAAAGGGACCATTTCCAGATAATCCCTCCAAAGTAACAAAAGAAAGGAATGCTATTACCCATTACCTCAAATTCAGAATGCAGAGAGGGTTCATAATCTTACTTGGAAACATTTAGAGGTTTGCAAAGTGAAAAAGGTCAAAACCAACTGGGCTAATTATTTTGGAGAAGTTCACAAGGTGGATAAATATGTAACAATACATGGTCAGATCTGAGCACTGCAAAGAATACCCAGGTAGAAAATAAAGCCTTCAGAGCCTGAGTAAATTATTTTATAGCTCCACATGTTAAAATAAGAGACTATTAGACATAGACAGTCTTCAAAACTTAGATTAATAAATCAGCATAACCCTTATGAAGCAACCATATTTTACTGTTTTCTGAAATATCTAGGCTCTGTATTTGCCAAACAGCTCAACAAGAAATGTTCCCATCTCCAACCAGTAGAAATTAATACCAGAGACAGAAATCCTATCACTGAAGCCATGGAGGAAGACACACACTCCAGGTAAGACAGTATTATAATGATTTTATGTACTGTAAATCTTTTAATCTCGACTCTCACAATTGAGCCATGGGGTTCTGTCCTCTGAGAAATAAGAGTTGCTTTATATCAGTTGGATACAGGATCCTCTTAATGCACTGCTGGCTGAACACCATGTCTTACACCCTGTCTTAGTGTCAGAGAAATATATTAACTCAGATCATTCTCTTTGCCTAGGGACCCTGAAAAAAGTATTTCAGGAGGAAAAAGTTCAGTGGAGCTTTCTGAAATACTTTATTAGAAAGGTAGAGCCCATCCTTTACTTATTATGTCATTATAAGGCACTCGGAGGTTTTTTGGGAGTAAGTTCTTGTGACTCATAGTCATCATCTACCTGTCCTTGGGATGGCACTATTTTATCCACTTTTCTTGTTCCACTCCCCCCATTTCTGGGGTTCTGTGATTTTTTTTCTGCTTCCTAACAGATGTAGCAAGAACCTTATGTGCTCACCACGTTCTTTTTAAATTTCTTAGAAGTGTTGAAGTTTTCGTTCACAGAACACTGAATAAGAATTAAATTCTTCTGTTAAAAAATACAACAACTTTTCAAATATGTCACTTTTATGTGACTATTTTAAAGTGATACAGATGGAAAAAATGGAGGAATCAGCCATGGGGCTTTTTTGATTTTCTGAAACAACTGTTGCTTAGTTTGTGAGGTAATGAAGTCTCTACTAAAAGCACTATATTCACCTTTTTCCTACTAATAATCCTCGTTCAGATGATTTGGCAAGTCTATCCAGGTATTGCATGGTGTGCAGCCTTTTTCTGATACTTTGAGACAAGTAATTTTTATTATGTGGGAAGTATAAGTCCATTCCTGGCAAGCATAATTCAGTTACATTCTGATACTGTGCATTCGGACTTAGAAAAGCAAATCTTTCCTAGTGCTAGCTGCAGTGGGTAGTGTTGAAAAAAAAAATGACAGACTAAGAGAAATTTACTCCTCTTCCTGTGACAACTCAATAAGAATGCACTTTCAAGGGAAACTAAGCTTTTTTTTGTGTTTTGTGGCATCTGTGCATGAAAATTCACCACAAATAGTCTTCTGGTGATCCAGGCACTGAGAAAGACTCCCAAACAGCCAAGACCTGAGTCTAATGAATTTAAAAGCTTATACTATGTTCTTTGGTTACATGTGCTTTAAAACAAAAGGTTTATTCTCACATGTTGGCATGTCTTTATTGGCATCATTTATTTACTTTTTATAGGAGTGAGAGCATAACTACTTTTATGCCAGCACATTTGATTGTGTATGACTGACTTTGACACTTACAGGGCTCTATTGTTGGTTAGGAGGATAAACAAAATTTCTGTAGAGTGTTTAGTTAACTCTCTGTTGAAGTTAAACAAGACATATCTTTGGAAATCTCTTAAAGAATTATTTCTAATGGCACCACTGGGACCCTTGCTTTGCTTGTAAAAATATATGTGAATTTATGAAGGACAAAGATACAATTATCCCAGGATAGCTTCAGGAAAAACCATCATACCTCTTTCAGAGGAGGTGCACAGATATGGACAGCAGCATGGGCAGACTGGCTTTTATTTTCAATATGAGGCATATTCTTCTACCACTTTTGATGGTCAAAATTAATTCCCTTTAAATCAAGGTATTGTATTTCCTAAGTGGAATTAGTCCTTATTCATGTAAGTACAAGACAAGGAACATTCTTAGCCAGGATTTTAATATTGTCTGTGATGAAAATCTGAATGCTTGAAGTCTCTCAGAATTCTTAGCTCTTTGAGAGACAGACTCTCAAAGTCTGCCCCAGTTTAATCCAAGAAATTGCAAACTCAGTCTCATTGTAACAAAAGAAATAATATTCATGGGCATTTTTTTCTTTTCTAGATCAAGTGTTCTGTCCTCTACTTTCCCACTAAAGCTTTTCTGCAAAGTTCTTATAGAGCTGAATAAACCTTGTTAATGTTGTTAATTACATGTTCTATTAAAAACACATCTGGAAATGACATTTCTCACAAGTTGGTCTTTAATTATCAACAATTATTTCTCTTGACTCCCCAGTGAGCTGCTTATGAAGATGGAGGGACTCTCAGATGGGCAGAACTGAAGTCTGAGTTGAAGAGGATCTTTAAAAAATCCTCAGTTCTGCCAGCATCTTTGTGTATACAAGCCTGGGGGTGTGGTTGTCCTTCTTTACACCTGGTCTCAAGCATGAATTACTGTAACAGCACCTCCCCTGACAGTGAAGTGCTCCCTCAATAGATGTGAGCTTATTGTCTGGGTACTGTTGCTAGGAAAAGCAGCTGATCAGGGGCCAGGGTGGCAGCCAGTTGGTGTAATACATGCTTGATAAAGCTCTTATCAGAGCCTTGCACACTTTCAGGAATGCTCACAATTCAGCTGGATTTATCAATATGAAAAAAAAAAAGCCCCATTCTTTCTTCATTTCACTCACCTGTTGGAAGCTGGCCCCACAGAGCTGGGTATTAGAGCTTGAAATCACCGGTGTCACCTCCTGCTGTTCCTGCCCGTCACACAGCGGCTGAGGACACCGCAAAGGAAATGCCGTGGCAGGAGTGTCTTCCCTCTGTAGCTGCTGTGGTGATGTGAGCAAGGCAGTGTGCTCTGAGTTGCTCTTCTCCAGCCCTGTAGATCCTTTGAAGGCCTCTCAGGTGCTCCCTGCAGAGAATCATCTCACTCTGGCAGAAACAGTAGAAAAAAGGCCTTCAGGACTGAACTGGGGACAAATCTCTGGCATGATGTTCAACTGCAATTTTCTCTTCCCAAGCTTTCAGTAGGGAACCACATTCAGGGAGGAGTAGGATGATAGTAGCCTCTAGATAATTTTGATTAATGCTATGTAAGAATATCAAATCAAATGCAATCCCTTATTTTTTATAAAACCTCCCATGTTAATTATTATTAAGCAAATCATGTCATTTCCTTCAAATCCTTATGCAGCAAACAGCTTCCATCAGTCAGAAGGGAGTAATTCTTGAACAAAAGACATTCTTTAAAATTACATTAATTTCTCTGTATTGCCAAGAAAGATGACCAAAGGAAAGCCTTTAATCTTGGAGAAAATTTTAAGAAAAGTGTTTGCTAGATACATAAGTGGCTTGCTGATCCTTGATTTAGCATCACTGCTCCTTTTTGCAGCTGCTGTGTAAAATGCAGATTAGCTCTCGACACCTTTCAGGAAGGATTTGATGGATGGCCCTGGGTTGCCCTAGCAGCCCCTACACCCTTAAGCTGAGTGATTACTGAAGCAAAGGGGTGGCACTCCCCTTAGCCAACCTTGACAGTCTCTATATACCTTGGCACTTTCTGGCCTTTCAAATGATTTTTCAAAGCCTTGGCCATGGGGGTGCAGCTCAAAACACCCTGTTACATGCACCCCTCTGAGGTGGAGGGATCATTCCTGTACTGGAGATAGGAGCTGTACATGCTTTTAAAATTTAACTGGAATGATACTGGGATAAGTAATTTTGTAAGAATGTAAACAATGTGAAAAGGAGAAGGTGATGTGCTGATTACCCTCAAAGAAGTGAAGCTTTCCCATATGTAAGAAGTTCTACAAAGGCATTCTGGTCAGCCTTCCAAAATCAACTGTTAAATAGATTTTAACAACTGCCACTGCAAAGTTTATAACCTTAAAGACTCTGGGCATATTTGCCCACACAAAGTTTTGTATCCTCATGTCTTTGATCTACTGAATCACCAGTCTGATGCATCACCAGTCTAATTATAGTAGAATAATTATAGGCCTGATTTTTTTGGGGGGGGGGTGGGGGGGAAGTAGGGGGGCAGGGAAGGGGGAGGTTGTTTGGTTTTTTATTTTATCAAATACATCTCTCTCAGTCTTAGTCGTGAAGAGTTGGCTGGAACACACAAGAACTGTGGAATATTTGGGTTTACTAATAGCTTCATCAAAAAGTACCACTATGGTATCAATTTTATCAGGGACAATTTTGTAACTTGGAAGATCCTTTGTAACCTTAAGAAAGTTCACAGAGTACAGCAGGGGACAGGGCAGAGGAAATCAAGCAGAAAGTGCAGATGCACACATTACACTTGGGGAGGTTATAGCAGCTGGGTATTGCATTCTGCTGATTTGCAAAGGAACCAGTTTATGTATCAGCTTAAAGATAATTTGGTCATCTGTCACAGGACATCTGCTTCCTGCAAACTGACTCCATCCTTTCTTTTCACTTACAGTCCTGACCATTGAACCACTGTGGTTTAATTATGCAAAATGGGGGTTGAAGATTCAAGATATTGCTCAGATTGTTCTGCAATAAACTCTTCTGATTCAGCAGTGTCAGCAGGAAGGAGTCCATGAGTGCCAAACTAACTCCATCTCTGCAGCCAGTAGGGCCATCACATGAAAGCAGGATTCTTGCTTCTCAATTACTCAGCTCTGTTGTCCAGGTGATTTTTTTGGATGTGTGACTGTTCTACTGTCTTTGATTTCCCATTTATACTTCTTGCTAATTTCTTCATGGCTTGCAGAAGGCATTAATGTCTTCTCTGCTCCTGCAGTCCTCACTCACATAAAAGCTTCACCACAGTATGCCCTTGTATACCTTAGTCATTCTTGCTTACTGCTCTACAAAGGACATAGCTGATCCTGGGAAATCTTTTTCTCTGGCATGCTGATGTATTGTGCTTAATGTATTATCAACAATGACAGAGCTGCCTCAGGCAACTCCAGCAACACATAAAGCATAGGGAGTTTTATACAACGGTTCTTTTGAAAAAAAGTGTATAACCCACACAGAAAACTTTCTCCCTTTGGTTTCCTGCAGGTCGAAGCAGCAGTTGATGCTACACAGAAAGACAAGCCAAGGAGACCTTGCTCAGGTAAATCAAACCTGAAAATAGTGGTAACTATGCTGGCATTTATTTGTGCTGTCCGTTCATGTAACACTGCAGGAGCTTTATGCAGCACGTACAGACAGCAAGTTCTAGAAGGGACCCGACAGGGCAGCCCTGCTCTCATTTCCAGGGCTGTGCTGTACATCACTGCTGCTACTGCATTTGCATGAGAAAGCAAGAAAGCCTTGTTGAAAGGTTGCACGTGCTAATTAGTGTGGGGAAATAGAAGGAGGCATTTCAGAAAAACTTCACATACCTTGCACACAGTGCAGGTCATCTCGCATTTATATTTGTGCTCCTACAGTTGCAAGATGTCTCAAGTCTGAGAGACAGGGATGCTGTCCCAAACAGATTTTTAAATTGTTTTTATCTTTAAAAAGTCCAGAGTGAGTTAGAGTGAGTGTTTTTCTTGACAAACTGTTGACAGTTCTGTAATTCTGGGCATTATGAGTGCTAGCATAAATCCCATACATGTGTTTCTAAACTGAGAGTCCAAATTAACCTCATTCCCTGATCACAATGTAAAGAATTATTCAAGATTCAGAAAGAAACCAATCTTTCAGTGAGTTTTACTTAATTTAGAAGCTTGTAATGAATAGGAATTTTTAATCTGTTTGAAATGTCCTTTTAAACTGAGCTCTAGCTATAACCGGTCCTTCTGACTAGCTGGGTACAGTTGGAGTGCCAGCAGCTAGAAATACAAGTGCACAGTGCTCTTCTGTCCTGACAAGAAACTTGAAATCTCTGTATTCTGGAGCTCAGCCAGAAATGTTCTTGCATGCCTTCTCTCCTGACCTCAGCTGTCGCAGTGGCTCCCAGCACCACACAGGAAAGCATCCTGGTTTTCCATCAGACTCCATTTTGATATATCAGGGAGCTGAAGAACACAGGTTTTTGAAACATGTGCAGTGCTGCATGTGTTTTGTCTCTATTTCTACTACACCATGTGTACACATCACTGTCTAGGAAACTGGTACAGATATTTTTTGGAGCTGAGGGAAAGGCGGGGTTTATGAACGACATCTTTTTCAAAAACAGACCATGCAGAATGCTGCTCAAATTGCTCACAGGGCTGAGAGAGGTGTTTGGTAGGCCACTGTTGCATGGCAGAAGCATTCCTCCTCCATCCTGGACAAAGCTTATACTTAGAAAATTATACAGTGAAAATGAATCTGCAGCTGGCCATTTAATCAAATTTAATTTTTTTTTACATGCCTGTCCCTCCTTTATCTACTACCATGGTGAACAGAGGCAAACTTGGGCACTGCAGTGGGACAGAGCAGTATTTCATAGGACAGAAAGCATGCCACCAGTCACGTATTTTCCCTCTACTTGTTTCATGGTGGGGGCTCTCCCTCTTTTTGCTATTTCTTTTGCCCTGGGCTTAGAAGTCAGTATGAGCAGCAACTGGCCTTCACAAATGTGCTAAGGAGGAGCCTCTTGGGATGGCTTCTCAACATGCTTTATCTTTTGCTGACAAATTGGTGTCAGGGCCAGAACTTAATGAAGTCTTCAGAGAAAATTTTTCAGCAAATCTGGGGATCTCAAAGGTGTGGACCTGCAGTAAAACCAGAGTAATACAATTTATCTACTTTTGCTTGTCTTCTGAAAGGCTGAAAATTCAGCTTTGCAGCAAACTGTAAAATCACCTTTCTAGCTGCACCCACTTTGTTATTTTTCAGGTTTCCTTGCAATCCAAAAAGAGAGCCCAAGTCACTAGCTTGGAGTAATTTGAAGTTAATCTTCCACTGATATCTTCATGAGCATCTCTGCTACACCCGTCAAGAAAATTACCCCAACAAAGCCGTCCAAACATGGTGTGTCTGTGATTCCATTTCCCTCTGGACTGTGGAGCTGGATTCATGTCACCAGGTAGGTGCTACTCTTTTTCCAGAAGGACCATAACAAAGTTTGATCCCCTGTCTGTTGAAGAAACTCAGGAAACAAGATGTCTTCCCGAAGCATTTCATTCCCAGTGCTGGACTGATGTTTCCATCACCAAAGAGAGCTTCCAGTGCTTGGGTAGGACCTTTTATGGGATTGGCTCGTGTACCACAGAACTGCTTTGCTTCCCTCATTCAGATGTAGGCAGGACAAGCAAATGGGCAGCACTGGGCTGTTGAAGACTGGGACAATAGCTGTAGAAATAGGGCTGTCTAAGGTAAGTTAGTTTTCCTGAGCATTAGCAATTTGGAGGGAAAATATAAATAATGTCTTGATTCTGGAAATATTAATGTAAACTTGCCAAATTTGGTTCTTTCTACTGAAAAATAAGTGAGCAGAAACATGTTCCTTAATTCTAGGAGTCAAGGAGTTTTTCTCCATATGAAAGCAGATCATTTGTCAAAGGAATTGGCAGCACTAATCTCCAGGTAGAAAAACACCCACTTGCCAAAAACCAGAGGCCCATTGGCCATCTCAGTCCACAGACTAGAAACTGAATGCACAACTAAAATCAGTAATTGCTGTCTGATAGAACTATATATATATATATATATATATATATATATATATATATATATATATATATATATATATATATATATATATATATATATGTATGTATACAGAAGTTCCATATGCTGCTGCTGCTGAGCCAGGAGCTGGGGAGCACTGCCCTTACAGCACCCCAGAAATGGGGCTGGTCGCTCTGGCTCTGAAGGACAGACCTCAGCTGGCCAGCATCAGCAGGAAGTGCAGATTCACTTGCATAAATACAGGCACTGGTCTTTGAAAACTGCTGCTCTGAACTGCCTCATTTGCACCAGCAGTAAAACAAGGCAGTAGTTAGTCCTGGCTGGTGAGGAGACACAAGTCCTACACATAAGTCCAGCTTTGTTACTGGAGAAGTGTTACTTGCTCAGATGTTGAGGGAGGAGGGCTTAAATCCTGCTCATACCTTTTGTTTAACTTGCATAAATGCACAGTAGGTCTTTGTAAATCACCTTCACAAGATGTATTTTCTGTCTTAAAATTTCATGTTGTAATGAACAGTCAAGAAATCCAGATGTGCTGTTACAATGAGAGCATTTTAAAGGGGCAGATGTTCTGGTACCCTCTCAGGACATTTCTGTCTCTTTGGTATTGTTTCATTGTTTAATGTCAAGGCACTTGATTTTCTCAACATCATCAGGTAATTTTTATGAAACAGGCAGCTAGATACAAGTAAATACTAATGTGCAGCACCAATCCTTTTCTTCTGATTCCTATTCTGGTTTTATACATAGAACCTGTGCAATTAAATTTTTACATTAAACAGATTCTTTCTTTGAAAGCTTACTTAGCTTTCAAATTTAGATTTGAAAAATACATGGAAAGAATTAAATTAAATGTTTACTTTGGATAGCACACCGACAAACAAAAGGAAATCCCTTGCTGCAGGATATTGCAGTCACAGGTCACGAATGTTTAAGCAGGAGTTACTGCCATCCAGAGGAGAAAAGTCATAAGCTGTCGTATTTCATTATTTTTTAAGCATGGAAAGGTAAACCTAAATGGTTCATTCAGTTTCTTTCATATTAAGGAATCAAAGAATACAGAAATATTATAAATGTAATATTATAAATGTATCTGCAACAGAAAGCCCCCAGGACCCCCAGGGGTTGCTAAATCAGGGGACTGGGAGATGCTGTGGGCTGAAGGGATTATTTTCAACTCTTAATAACCAAACTAGCAAAAAAACCTATGTGTCCCGCTCCGGAAAAAATGGTCCCTCCCTTTTAAACCCCCCTTTCCCACAAAAGCACAGTAGGAAACAAAGAAATTAGTCATTTGGGGAGACAGAAAAGGGGAGAATGAGAAATTCAGCATGTCCCTGAAAGCGAACAAAAATAAAAGTTCTGAGCTGAAGGAGAAAAGAAAATCCGAGGGGAAAAAATATATTTGAATTTAGTGTCTTTTTTGGGCAACCCACGGCCAATTGCGAACTGTAGAAAATCCAAGAATGGCAGTTCATTTTGTGCAAAAAACAACTAAAATCTTCCCAGGGCAGGTCTTTTTTAATATCTCAGAGAAATTTGAGGTCAGGATCCTTCTAAACTTTATTTCTTCGATACCTTTTTCTCCATCAGGAACTAAGGTCCAGGTGCTCGTGTCTCTCCTCAGACCCACGCTCTGAGGGGATGGGAGGAGCGGATGCAGCCATTCCCCACTCCCCATTCCCCACTCCCCGTTCCCCGTTCCCCATTCCCGCCTGCTCCCGGCCGCTTCCTGAGGGGCCGAGCCGGGGCGCGCGGGCTGGCAGCGCCCCCTGCCGGCCGAGCCCGCCGCAGCGCTCCCATCCCCGGCTGCGCTCCCGGGACGGGACGGGACGGGACGGGACGGGACGGGACGGGACGGGACGGGACGGGACGGGACGGGACGGGACGGGACGCAGGCAGCGGGCCAGCTGTGTCCGTATGAAGCATAAGGAAGGTGCCGCCGGGCCCAGGCCGATGGGCCGGTGCTGCCCCGTACCTGCAAGCGCGGCTTTGGCCGAAGCCGTGCCGTCGCAGCGGAGGCGGGAGACGGCTGAATTCGCAATGTAAAGCTGCAGCACCTATGGCTGCTTTGCCATTGTGCTGCTGAGCAACGGGCTCTGCTGGCCCCCCAAACGATCATCAGAAGTAAGGGGCACTTTAGGAGGGAATGTTTCCCCATCGGAGGCTGATTCTCTTGAATGTTAGACCATGCATTGAGACACCTTCTTAGATTTCCCAGTCTAATTTTGCCCACAAGGGCAGCAGAGATCTACCGCAGGGAGCAGAGCAGAGTCCGGATCCTCTGTGAATGCAACCATCTGTTACCAGAGGCCTCCTCATGCTTCGTCTGCAAACTCGGTGCCCAACCCGGTTAAACGAATTAATTCTTTCCTCAAGGGGATCTGCTTAATGCAGGGACTTCCAGAAGACCCCAAGCAATATGTTTGCCCTACCCTAGATTTATTTGTTGAGGTAGGAGGGAGGTCAAAAGCACTGAGCCTTCCATTTCAGTAAGTTATGTGCCCGATGACCTGCTGTAGGAAGAACTATTGATCTCTGCTTATAACTCCTGTTAAGAGTCCTGTACATATCGACAGTCCTGGAACACCCCACATTTAAATACTAGGAGTGCCAAAGACAACCAAACAAATATTTTAGCTTGCTGTCTGCAAACGTTCCTTCTGACAAAATATTTCTGGTTTGATTGTTTCCAATGACATATAAGAAAGCTGAAGTTTTATTAGTTTACAGCCATTCAAAATAATAAAATATTCCAAGATAATGGTTCAGGGTTTTAAAACAGGCCATGTTACCTACTCCTTCTCTATAATGCTGAAACTTGAGGAGACGGAGGAGCCTCTCTATTACTAGTTTGTTGTCAATAACATTCATAGTGCATTAAAAAGTCCATCACAATACCCTGTTGATTTCACTCAACTATCCATCCCACAGAAGTTTGAAGTTGGTAGTGAGACAGGACAAGCCCCATGGTTTTTGCCACTGTACCAGTTACCTTCAGTATAGCATTGTGCCATCTCCATCACAAGACGATTTATGTCAATAGCATGTGAGGAGCAATTGCCCTTAGAGGCAACAGATAGCCATAGAACAGCAGCATCAAAAAAAAAAACAGAGCACAAATCACTACCTATAGGTTCCAATTAGGAAATTATTTTCTATTTAATATGGTCTATTTTTTAAACATTATAATCCAAATAAAAAGAAACTGAATTTAGAAATCTGTTTTAAAAGCTGAAAGAAGCACTGCTGAGATGTAAGGAGGTGTGTGGGCCAGTACTCAAAATATTTGATATAATTTTCCACCACATTCATCAAACCAAATCCATGTAAACTTCGAACAAGTTTGGCAAGAGCCATAGTGGTTTGGCTTTACTGCCATATAATGGAACAAGTTCCTTGTGCATTGGCTATCCCTTTGTAATGGGCAATATCACTGTGGTAAAATGTGTTTATATGTCTTAAGGCAATCAGGAATCAAGGCAATTCTTTGAAGACAATTGATAGTAATTTCATGAGTGTTTGTTATGCTGCCTGCTCTGCATAGCTGCCTACATGGGGAGGTGCCAATGAAAGCAGGCAGTATTAGGTGCTGCCTAATGAAATCATCACCTGCCTTCGTGCCCCTTCCCAAAGCCTGCTCCTCACAGGCAGCCTTCGGCACATAAACAAACGGATAAATCATCTTACCAGCTCAGAGGGTGACAGTGAAATTAGAGTCCTTCTCTGCTCAATGCAACAGTTTAGTCATTTGAGACAGGAAATCACTTTGTGTTGGGAAGCAATACTGGGCAAATCTCAACCAGGTTTCAGAGCAGTCAAGGGCTCAGGCTGCAGAAGGAACAATGTGATTATGACGGGCAGGAAGCAGAACAGGACAAGTTCCAGCAAAAACTCCACAGAATGTAATAGCAAATGTTGTGCTTGGTGTAGCTCTTTAACAGGTCATTAAAAAAATATACCAAAATTCATTCTACAAATACAATAAACTCCTAGAGCTGTTTCTATAGAATTGTGATAGGATTTTCCTATACAAATACTTGTCTGTGCCCTGCATCACCCTGAGCACAGTTCTACAGAAATATCTGCACAAATCATGATGTCAAGGAGGAGATACAGAGAAGTAGAACTTCTTTTTCTCTCCCACCTTCATCAGTTGCAGCATCTCACTATCAGTTAAAGCTGGCAGAGGGATCAGTGACAAGTGCCAATAGATAAGGAAGACACAGACTGCTGAGGAGAACTTTGAGAAGTATCTCCTGTGAAGGATCTGCTCCAGAGCTGACTTAGATTCCTCTTTGTCAAGGCAGAGGCTAAACTTTGGAGTGGTGTCAAGTCTATTTTTATGATACTAAGATCTCCCTGGGAATTTATGAGACTCTCTCTTTGGATTTAAATTATCTGTTCAGGAAGTGTGGGTTATAGATCTGTCATTTGAAGCCAGCTGACCTCAGTCACCTTCAGTGACAGGTAAACTCAGCTTAAAGTGAAAAGATCCCTAGGGTCAGTGGTTTCTGAAGGGGGTGTGGGGGTGGGTGTGAGTGTGCACTATCAGAATACTCAAATAAGAGAAGCATGATGCAACATGAGAGCATTCCATTGCAGCAGTGCTGCAGACACAAAACACTAAACTAATGAAAGAACATTGACATTTCATTCCAGAACCATTAATGCTTCCCAAATGGTGCAGAATTAAGTGGAATTAAATTCAATAGTGAATCCCACTTTATATAATGATACAAGGCATTAGTATAAATTACCTGTTGAGTGAAAAAGGAGCTAAACAGTATTTGAGGCATTTGGGTTACTCAAAGCAGATTTTTAACAATTGCCTGACAAGGTGCTGCATTTTGTACAGGTCATTATAATCTACCTGTAGAACTTCATCATTTTCATATCTGTTTTGCATGCAAGAACATCCTTTTCAACCTGAAATGCTTGCCTCTAATATTCAGGGTGGGTTCATTAAAATCAGAACAGCAGTCAAGGGTGAAAAAGTCACTTGTCAAGCTCAGGCTGCTCATCAATCCACCTGCTGCTCTCCTGTGTGTCTGCTGGGCAAGGAAGTGTTCCAGTGTTTCCAGTAGCTTTGAAGGCTATTGTGAGGCAGCAAAGTGCCAGGAATGCTAGAGAGATTGTGGAAGGCAGTAAACCACACAGTGCATTTCTGGTAGTTTGTGATTTTAAAACGTGAAGCTCCATCCACATTGCATTATAAGCATTTGTAGCTATTCTGAACAAGGAATAAATTAGGAGATGCTGGATTCTATTACAGGAGAGTTCTTTGAAGCCCTTTTCAAACACTATCCAGATACTCCATCTGAAGCTCTCATTTAGAGTAAATACTACAAAGGATCAGCTATTTGAAAGAAATTAAAAGGATGGAACATTTTCTTGGCTGTTAGACATCTGAGAAATCCAGAAGTGGAAGATGCCAAACTATCTGTCATATGTGTACTTCCTGTAGCCTTACTCTCCTGAATGAAATGTGGTTACCACAAGGGATATTTGCAATTGAGAAGGAGAGATCAACTAGATTTGGCTTTCATAAATATGGCCTGTCTCTTAGAAAGTGTTTTACAGTTTCTGTTACAAATTTGAAGGAAAGGTTTTCTCATTAACAATTGTCAAGTTACATTTTCAGCACAGAAGAATTAAGGATATTGGGGTAAGTTTCAAGCCCCCATTTTAGAGTTTTAGGCAAGCACTTTCATCAGCTGATTGGAATGACACCACAGGCACCCAATATACTTATGGGACAATTTATGAATGTGCTTCTATTTAATCAATCCCCGAAGTAAAAAAAAAAAAAAAAAAAAAAAAAAAAAAGTACATTTTAGAAGCTATTATAAATAGTAAATACATTATTCCAATCTTTAAAATGTAAGACAAAAATGTATTTCTTTATTTCTTTAAAATTTAATAACATTAAGGGAAACCTTTCTGATTTCTTTAGGTCAGTTTTCAAATCATAGATAATTTAGGCTGAAAAAACTTCTGTAGGTGGTTCAATCCCCTTCTCAACACAGGTCTCATTATTTCAGGTCACTTGTGCTGTGTCCAGTCCAGTTGAACCCTCCAAAGATGGAGATTCTGCAAGTTCTGCTGAGTGCTGATTGCTGCAATGCATGGTAAGAAAGCAATCCAGGCAAAACTTTCTCCACTTTTCTGAGCACAATAGGAAATGTTCCAGTTCCTATCAGAGGACGTTCTCACTTAACTTTCTGGGTTGAATATAATACCTTTCAGGAATCAGGCAACAGAACTTTGTATCTGGGGGATCTAACAGGTGTCTAGAGGTGTCTCCTCCATTTAGGCTTGCATGAGCCCACTGTGGAAGAGATTACTTAAGTCGCTCAGGATTCAAAAGTTAGCACAGTAAGTAAAATCTTTCCATTACTTTGTGATTTATGGCTGGTTTGTTCCCTTGTTTACAAAATTAGTTGGGTTTTTTACCAGTTAAATCTCTTGTAGACTTATTGGGGAGGTGACAAAAATCGGAGATTTGTCACTATCATCAGTATTTTAAAATGGTCCCTTAAAAAGTGTGCAGTGATTTGACTCATATCTTTTAACGAATTCTGGAAGCTGTAACATCACTGCTAGAACTATTGGTAGCCCTTCTCAGTGTGCAAATCCCCTGTGAGTTCACAGCTCCTGTGCAGACCACTGCAGAACTGGGTAGCAGAGCTTTTGCCTCATCCCTCCTGACCTGTCCTGCGTCCTCCAGCTTCCATCCCTCTTCCATGCAGAGCTCAGGCCAGGACAGCCAAGGAAGCACTTGTGAGTATTTTTGTGGCAAAGTGCTGCTTTCAGAAACATGCATCAAAGACACAGTTGATCCTTTCTATTTTGTTCCCAGTTACTTGCAGAAGAGAGGTCTGGATCCAGACAGTGCTGGGAACCTCTTGTTCCACCTTCCTGGGATACCAGGGCAGCACCAGGTTAGATCTCCTGCCAGAAGTGAACATGGGCTGTTTTGTTTAAGCTGGGAAGCTGATAGTGTTGAACCCATCTATTTGAATAAATCAGCTGGCTGTCCTCTTGCCATCTCTGATGTAAATCTATATGGCATTGTGAAACTTTATTTATTTTAAGCTTGCAATATTTAGCAAAGCAAACCAAAAGGGTTCTTTCTAACTTCCATAGCATTTTTTCTACTGAGCTATTTTTCGGAAAGATATGTTCATGTATAATTAAATGTGGCTTGCTTAAACCTTTGCAGTTGGTAGCTTAATATATATTTTGTTGTGCTTTGAGCACAAAGGCTATATTATGCTTTTGTTGGCATCCTTGCTGGTTAGAATGCCAACTGCATAATTTTGTTCTCTGCTCTGTGTCAGAATTCAAGTGCCGAGGGCTCAACAGGTGGTGCTGGGATAAAGTTCTGGCAAATCAAATAGGTAATGTGGTTATTTCTTTTGTCAAATTATAATTGGAAACAGAGACAAGTAAAATGAAACTCACATTTTCCTAGTGCAAAAGAGAGACTAGAATTAAACTCAAATCAGTTTCCATGACAAATAGACATTACTACTGGAGCTTGGTCTGTAAATAAACATGCAACACCTTAGTTTTGATGTAGAATTTTTTTTTCTCTGTAAATTTAAACCTTAAGCATCAGTGTTTAAACAATAACAGAAGAGCAGAGTCCTCCATTAATCTTCTGTCTTGCTTGTACATATTTAGAATAAATATGCTAAAAGGTTCAGAAAAAACTTTGAAAATATTTAAATCTGAAAAGTCAGAGAATCTGAGACAATCTGTGATACATAACCCAAATGTTTAACATAAGCGTTTCCTGCTGTATTGTTTTCTAATCATTGCTATATCCATGTTCCCAGAAGAAAACTATAAATACACTGGAAATTCCAGTGAATGTCCTGAATGAGGTGCTGCTCATTTTATGTTTGACTTGGATAATGTTTATTAATCCTAAAATCATAAAAATGGGATAAAATTTTCTATAACAAAAAATGCAACAAATCATATATTCATAGCTTGGTTTTCCAAAATTGCACGTAAAAAGGCCCATGCACTTCCAGGTCTATCCACTTTGCTATTGTGGCTGATCTTTTTTACACCAAGATGTTTTTATTTTCCTCTGAGGACCTATCCAAATCTAATATAAGTAATCTTATTAACAGTTCCAATGATTATCATGGTTTTGTTTAGTTTTCCAATCCTCCTCATTTAAAGACATTTCTCCTAAACTATACATTCTCAACTCAAAGTTTTGTTTTGTCAGCTCTGAACCCATCATTCTTCTTGCAGTGGCCTCCATTCCTTAGGCTGTCACAAACATCTTTATGTCCCTTTCAAGCTCTTATTTAACTCTTATTTAACTGCCTTTGTCTGGGAGCAGATGGTGCATCCTGTTCTTTCAGTAATTCATTCCATCAGTGACCAGGAACTAAGCAGCATGGAAAAGGGGTATCACATCAACCCAGAACCATTGGTATTTTCACCTTTTGCATACCATGGTGACTCTGGTTTGGTCTGAGCAGAATGCACACGTTTCTCTCCCTGGCTGTGGCTGTGCCACTGAGTGCCAGGGCTGTGGTCAGGGGCTGGGACACACCTCACAGAGGTGTGAGAAACTCCTGCATATGGCATCAGAAATTACTGGATGTGACAGATCACCACCTCACGTGATGCTGTGAGGAATTCCCAGGTGGTTAAGGAGGAGTTTTGTGAGAAACAGCTGAATTACAGAGAAAGGTAGGGCTGTGTGTTGGGGTTGTTTTGGGATTTGGATAGTACAAGGCCAACATGCTGGAAAACTTTATCAGCTTACCCAGACACAGCTGAGATCGCCTTGTTTTGGTATCAACAGTACCAAAATTATAATTCAACACCTACGGAAGTTGGAAAAGAGAGTAACTGGATTTATAGAGAAGTAATAAATCCATGACTCTTTTATCTGTTGCCTTTTGCTGGTCATCAGTTTAATTTCTTCACACCTTTCAGTATGAAGATACCTGGGAACAAGAAGATATTTACTGAGAATAAAGATCCCAGTTCAACATGACACTCTTCACAATTCCACACTTGGACTGACCCTGTTCCATCTTGGTTAACCCAGGAAAGCTGCACCCAGTTGTCTTAGGAGTTAAACTGTAGCTTCGCTGCAAGGGACTGGCTCCGAAGGTAAAAATTATATTCCAGCCAATGTATTATTAAGTTCTTCACCCCTTTAAAAATCCTTTTCCTGAATTACTGCATTTCTAGACTGACCTGAGACATGCCATGAGGACAGATGCCAGGTCTCTATGGTTTTTCATAAATGCTCAATACATAAGAAATAGTCTTCTGGCTTTACTTTTATTTTTTCTTTTAAATAACCATCTTGAATATTTATCTTATTGATCAGATAGCTTTTTGGAAAAGAAAAAGCTGAGATAATGTGGCCTTTTCATTGACAAAAGATTTATGTCTTGCTTGGAAGGACTTGATACTTCGAGGGCTCACAGCAGACACAGTCAAACACAAGTAGCACGTAGTCCAGTGCTTATCCAGGGGAACCAAGACTGCTGCTCCCACACTTCTTTTGTGTGAAATTAAAGCAGCCACACTGAAATTGGCATATATTTAAAAACATGATAACAATTCTATCAAGAAGGAAGGAAATAGGCTCAGAAGCATTTTGAATCAATGAATACTGTGCAGAAATAAGTAGGGTGTGCATGAACTCTTCTGGTGACCTTCTTTAGGAGCCACCTGTGTTCTTGCCAGGCACCCTCTCCCCACAGGGACGGGTGAGGAGTTCAGCCACTGGGCTGACCACCCTTTCCGCACAGTTGTCACAACCACTGCAGCTGGGCTCTAGCATTTGTATCACTGAATTCTGTGCTGGGCCACAAAGAGAAGGAAAAGAGAACGAAATGTGTTCTTAGCTTTGCTATGGACTGCATGGCAGATGGTGGCACTGACTCGGGGTCACTGACTGTTCAGAGAAAAGGCTTATCTGAATTTCAGCACAACTTTTTAACCAATGTCTTAAAAAACCCCAAAATAAACCACTATGAGTTTTTGTTTTCCTTTAAGCAGGGCTTGAGAAAGGTAGACTAAAATAGTAAAATTCTGCTTTTCCCAGGAAATTCTTAATTTTCTCCAAGGATAATATGACAGTTTCCACCAGCTTTGCCACAGCTCAAATGAAGCAGAAGGAATAAATGTCTTTTAGTGAGTGGTGCTTGTACTCAGATGAGCTTTCATGGGAGGCCAGAAGAAGGGCAAGGGATTGGGTGTAGCTTCATTTTCTGAAGTGAGCAGGTAAACCTATGGGTTTTCCCATTCCCTGCCCCTCATCGTCCTGCCAGTCCAGAGAGGTCAACCCATGGAAGTGCTACTGATGCCAGCCTAAATTGAATATTGGAAAGCACAGGCAGAATTTGCCCCAGAGGAAATTAACCATGAATTGGCTTAAAAAAACATCTCCTATCTAATATAAATAATGCTAGTATCTTCAGAAGTATTACTGTTATACTGCAACTGAGAAAAGAAAAAAACTGAATAGCCAGAAAATTTATTTTCTTACACATTGGAAAGCCTAGAGGTTAAAGCACACAACGAGATGGCCACAGAGCTGGGGGCCATTTCTTCTTTAGACAATATTCTGCATTGCACCAGCAAGTCACCATGTTTCTTTTTCAATAATTTCATCATAAAATGAGAATGAACCTACATGACTCCCATTCCAGTGAGGATGGTAGAGCTCATCTGACTTGGTTATGAAATGAGACTGCTCAGATAGAAACAAGCTCCTGAAATTCAAATTATTCATATTACTCCATGCTGTTCTATTACAGAAAAAATGGCAGATTCTTCTGTGGTATTTAAGAATAGAGAAACAGCAATTTTTTTCTGGTTTTTCTTTTACATTGTTACAAATTTGAGTAGGATCTGCATTTTTCCCTTTCATATACATCATTTGATTGTCATGTAATATCTGTTTTATATTGATCTCTTAGAAAGAGTCTGTATTATGTTTAATTTTTTTGAAAATAACAAAAAAGGTTTTTTTTCTGTGTAGCTGTTTTCTGTTGTTTTCTGAGAGCACATAATGAAACAGATATTTGGAGAAATATGGGAGCAGGGGCTTAGTATGTGTATGTGTGTGTGAAAAGTGTTTAAACCTGCAGCCAGATTTCAAATTTTTCTTGAGTTTGCATACAAAAAAATGTAAATATTTAGACTGAAATAACATCTGTATTAATAAAAAATAGGAGGATAAAAAAATTCCTCCAGAACAGGAGTATCATAGGCACTATTTCTCCTCTCTCCCAGCACTCTTACAGCCCAGAAATAAATACTTGGAGTTATATTTTCATCTCAGTTCGATGTACCAGATTTTAGTGACTCAAATCCCTTTTTCCATTAGTGTGAGTTAAGCTGCTCAGGCTTTGTCCATGGATGTTGCCCTACTTTTGTCCCTGTCTCTTTGAGCCTTCAGCTCAGTTCCCCTTCTCTGGACTGCCAGGCAGGTGAACCTCACAGGGCGCTGGCTGGCTGGAGCATCACTCCCAAGCTAAAGCAACACCTGCTGTGCCTCTCCAAACTGTGGCACATTTAACACTTCCTTTTGCCCTCAAGGTCAGGACAACTTTTGGGATCACAGCCCTGGCAAGGGCTGCTGAGTGCAGCCAGCCCAGGCCAGCAGTGCCCCATTACTGGCACTGGGAGGGCTCCCAGCACATCTGTCCCTGTTACTCAGGTCCAGAGATTAGCAAGGGAAGAGCCTGGGAACCACTCTGGGCTTAGACCTGTGTGCATTCTGCCAGCCCAGCCCTTCACAGAGCTTCCCCTTTTCTTCTTGATGTTCTTGGGTATGTGCATGGGGCATGGTGCTTTTTGAATACCTCTTTACTTGTCCCTCTGAACCGTCCTCTCTATTGTCCTTTTAATTATTTCATCTTATTTTCTTTTTACTGCAAGTAGTCTAAGGACAGTGGACTTGATCCTTATCATTATGCAACATAAAATGGCAATGCTTATCCTGAAGTGTCTGGTTTCCAGTGATGGTCACAGTGACAGACATTGCCTTGTACCACATGCCTAAATTTCAAAATGTTGTAAGAGAAGAGCTTGATACCTTACTGAAATCTATTTCAGCCTTTTTTATGCTTTTATTATGATTAATGGATGAAACACAACCATTTGTACTGCATTTATTATCACGAACAATATTGAAAGTAATTTGACCCCTACAGTACTTTCTTTTTTTAATAATACTATACAGTGGCAAAAAGGCTATGAAATGCTGTGCAGAGATCTTTATCTTAGTTGAACTGGTTGAAATACAGGCAATGGAAATTCTCTGGGTTGACACTGGTATAATAGGAAGCAGCATATGACCTGCTTTTCTGAGCAATGTGCTGTCATCACAAACTACATCCCCATGCATACCCAACATATAAAAAGTTTATTTGTCAGCCTGCTCCTGTGAGCTCTTTACTTATGGCTACTTTATCATCTGAAATAAGCCATGTTTTTCATTATTAGAAACATAACACTCTGGTAAAATCTGAAGTTGTATAGGAGAATGTGAATGCTTTTATTATTAAGTCATTTTGCTGTAAGCACTGGAGAAATCAGATAATGCCACACTGAGTTATTCAGCTAGCAGGTCAAGTGTGATAGAATAGCATGGAGTTCAGAAAACCTCTCCTGGCACAGTGTGGTTCAGCAAAGGACTAAATTACTGTTTCTCCACGGACTTGAATAGTTTGGAACTCAAGGTAATATTTTTGTCTGCAGCTTCTTTAGCCGGAGACTGTGCACTTGTGCACAGCCCTTCTCTGGCCATGGGCTGTCCCTTGGAGGGTTCTCTCACAGCTACCAGAGGAGAGGATAGCATTGTGTGCCATTTGCTACAGTGTGTACCAGCCATTTAGCTCTGCAGAGATCCTCTAAGAGCTCCCCTGAGGAGTCAGAGCTAAGACACTGACTGACATACCTGAATGCCAGTACCCCTTACTGGTCACATACATTCAGCAGAGCTAAGCTGCCAACTTTCTAAATGTAAGGAAAATAATTATTTCCAGACATTGTCATTCTCAAATTCCAATCTTCACAGGTGGATAAAGTAAAAAAGTATCAGGCTTGGTAGAGATTTACCTTAAAATGGCAAAGTTAATTTTAAAAAAAGCACAGCTAGCACAATCCATGTAGAGTCTGCTTAAAAGACATACTAAAGGTCCAGTTTAAATGTATACCATTAAATAGTCTCTTCAAATATCAAATATAGTTACCATGTCTAAAGAGCAGAGACATGGTTATCAGGTTAAAAAAAGCCATCCTTCAGAAAGCAAGTCCTGTTCTATGGAGAAAAGTAGATAAGAGGCTTGACTTGGAGAAGTTAACTGAAACCACTGTAAATAGGCCCATATCAGTTTGAAGAGTTACTTGTTAAACATACAAACCTAATAACTGCATTCACTTACCTCAGGCTAGAAGGTAATTGGTCAATTAATGGTGCCAACATATGACAGAGGTACAAAAGCAGCGGTTCTGGAAGAGAAAGCCATTGCAGGAAACCTGAACATGTTATTTGCATCAATAATCAGTAAGGGAGGACAGTGAGGTTCCTATATGAGACCAAAAGTATCTCCAGGACTGCATCAGATCAAAGTGTCAAAAAAATATTGCTCTTGGAACAGAGGGGATTCCCTCAAATATGAAATACCCAGTACTAATCAGTATAATCAATTATTTGCACTGACCTCACTACCACAGGCAAGGAAAAAGAAGGTGAAAATATGTGAGAAAGGCTCAGAGGTGACCCTGCAACCCTGGGACCAGTAAACCTGAAGTGCTGCAGCAAACAAACTGGTAGAAATTATAAAAAGAATCAAATTAATGTGGGGGAAAATATGTCACTCAAAGAGGGGTTGACCTGACTGTTGTAGAAGAAATCATGTCCCCAAACCTGCTAGAGTCCCATGAAGGCATCAGCATGTTCATTTTTATGAGGAAACCCCAGCAGCACAGTTCAGTGTGCACCCTCCAAAGCACAACTGTGTCCTGCCTGCCTTATTGAATGACCCAGCTGTGTTAGAGGCATCAAAACCTCCTGCACTTATAACTAATATTACAGAACTTTGCTTTTCTTGTTGGATGGTACAGAATTCTCTGTATTTCTGATTCTT